TCCAACGTTTTCCTCAAACAAAATTGATCAAACGTAAATCTGGTGGTAGAAGAAAGAACAGTTTTAAGACTAACTCAAGCCTTTCACTAAGAGAGCGCACAAACATTTATGGACTTTCTTATAGTTTTGTTGTAAAAGTTTGAAATAAACATGGTTTTTATTCTTTGAAAGCACAAAAAGTGCCCAACCGATCTGAAACTCAACAAAAAAGTGCAAAAACCCGCTGCAGAAAGTTATATGACAATTTTATTTCTAAAAATTTCTGTATTATTAAAGACGATGAAACACAGATGTTAATCCTACATGCGTCAACGAGTAAGCATTTTGAGTATTTTTTTTTATTATATTGAATATTTTTAAATTAGTTATTTTGAAAAAAAAACTAAAAAATGGCGTCGCTTTTTTCAGAGAAATTAGATTTTCATAATTTAAATTTAGATTTTTTTGAGGACAACTTTATGAATAATCTATCTGAAGAAAACATAAATATTTTTCAAGAAACTCAAATCAACTTAATTAACACACCGTATATTGATCCCTTAGATTTTAAAGTAAAAACAGATGATTGTTCATTTTCTGTATAACACATAAACATTAGAAACATGCAGCAAAACTTTGATAAACTTAAAGAATTTTTAAATATTTTAAATTACACGTTCGAGGTCATATCTCTTTCAGAGACTTGGCATGATACAGAAAGTACTCTTGAATTAAGTTCTAATTATACTTTACCATTTTACAAACTAATTAGTCAACCACGACGTGGTAAGGAAAAAAGGAGGAGGATTAAGAATTTATGTCTTGGAAAAGTATGCTTTCAAGATAAAAAACATACTATGCTTTTCTAATAATAATTATGAAAGTCTTTTCATTGAAATTATTAATAAAAAATACCGAAACGTTTCAGTTGGATGTGTTTATCGTCCACCGAGTGGAAAAATAAAAACCTTCGAAACTTTTATTAAAAATACGATTATAAAAATAAATAAAGAAAATAAAACATTATATATTACTGGTGACATAAATCTTGATGCTCTTTTTAACACAAAATTTCCAAAATTAAAATCTTTTTTTGATATGCTTTTTAAATTGAATGTCTTGTCAACTATTAATAAACCAACGCGAGTAACAAAAACCTCGGCAACAGCAATAGACAATATTTTTATTAATAATTATTTAGAAACGACATTTGAAACCGGTATATTTATGACAGATATTAATGATCATTTCCCGGTATTCATAAAAACAAAAAATCTAAAAGCTGTGACTGGTTGTCATTCAAAAATCATACTTTTGAAAAAACGAAATTTAAAAATGAGTAAAACTAATAAATTAACAAATAGACTAAAACAAGAAACACGGAACAACGTATATAAATGTCAAGATACAAATGGAGCTTACAATGCTTTTTTAAGTACATTTTTGGAGTACTTTAATGAAACCTGTCCTCAAGAGAAAATAAGAATTAAGTCAAAAGCAATTGCTAATCCGTGGATAGATAAATCGTTATTAATGTGCTCAAAAAAAAAGCAAAAACTTTACAATAAATTTCTGAAAAATAAAAACAATGGTAATGAAAAAAATTACAAAAGTTATAAATATTTTTACCAAGATCTCATTAAAAATGCAAAAAAAAAAAATAGTACAGTAATTAAAAATTAACAAATGCAAATTTGATTGCAAAAAAACATGGTCCATCATCAATGTCATAATGGGAAGAGAAAAACTAAATTCATCTTCTCTACCTAAACGAATTGTTATTGAAAACAACGATATATTTAGTCAAAAACAACTTTTGGAAGAATTCAATAAATATTTTACAAGTATTGGTCCAAATCTTGTAAAAAAAATAGTACCAACATCTGTATCATTTAAAACCTTCCTTAAACCAACAAATAATGTTATCTTGCTTGATTGAATTAACCTATGAGGAATTTTAGGCAGCATTTTCCTCGTTAAAAAAAAAAAAGGCTCCGGGATTTGATGAGATATCTAGTAATATAGATATTGCAAACAAACACAGTCTTAAAAGACCTCTAATACATATACTGAAGCTTTTGTTAAATTCTGGGATATTTCCGAATGTACTTAAATTAGCAAAAGTACATTGTACAAATGTAATGTACACATTGTACAAATGTAATGATCATTCTGACATTACAAACTACAGGCCTATATCAGTACTTTCTGTATTTTCAAAACTATTCGAACGTGCAGTTTATAATAGAATCTATGATTACTTCATTAAAAACAATTTTTTTTACCCAAATCAGTTTGGTTTTCAAAAAAATCTCTCTACTGAGCATGCAATCATTGAAATAGTAAATAAAATAACTAATGGTTTTGAAAATAATAAATTTACTTTAGCAGTATTTCTTGATTTATCAAAAGCATTTGATACAGTGGACCACTGTATTCTCTTAGATAAATTAAGACATTACGGAATAGTTAATAAAACTTATTATTGGATTAAAAGCTATCTTACAAACAGAAAACAATATGTAAATAATGCCCAATCTGGAGTGTTAAATGTCGTATGTGGAGTTCCGCAAGGATCGATTCTTGGTCCACTTCTTTTTTTAATATATATAAATGACTTCTGTAATGCATCCTTAAAACTTAATTCAGTCATGTTTGCAGATGACACGAATTTATTTCTTACCGACAACGATATCAAGAAATTATATGCGGACATGAATATTGAACTAAATAAAGTAAATAACTGGTTTAAGGCTAACAAACTCTCACTTAATGCCGAGAAAACAAACTATATACTTTTTCATAAAAAAACACAAGAAGAAAATCTTCCTCTCAAGTTGCCGAACCTATTCATAAATGATAAATTAATTAAAAAGCATTCCAATATAAGATTCTTGGGAATCTTTGTTGATGAAAAATTATCCTGGCTTTCTCATATAATATATATCCAGTCAAAAATTACCAAAATCATAGGTTTAATGTATCGAGTTCGCTCGTACATTAATACAAATAGTCTTAAATTAATCTACTTTGGGCTAATTCACAGCCTCATCAGCTATGCAAACATTTCATGGGCAAGTACTTAAACAGCAAAGCTTAAGAAACTTTATAGTTTTCAGAAGCATGCTTGTAGAATTATTTACTTTAAAAATAGGCGGGAACACACTAATCCCTTGATGAAAGATATGAAAATGATGAATGTATTTGAAATAAATATCTACCAGCATTTAATTTTCATGTATCGTTACAATCACAATATCTCTCCTATAAGCTTTAATAATAAGTTTGAGTTAAATAAAAATGATAACTATAATCTCAGAGCGAATATGTTGAACACATATAAACTGCCAAGGATAATAAATAAATATTCAGAATACAGCATTTTATATAGAGGTCCAAAGTATGGAATATTTTTTAGACAGGGTTCAAAGGTACGGTGAGTTCGTTAAGTTCATTCAAGTTTTTAACACAAAAAGAAATCTTTAAAACCTGTGAAACATTTTTTGTTAATAATGCTTTGGATAAATTCTCTTAAATAATTTTTTGTTTTGTTTCTACTTTTGTTTGTTGCTTGACAATTTTTATTAGCGGATTACGCATTTTGTTATGATATTTTATTGACATTTTTATTTTGTAAGTTATATTACGATATTTTAATTAAATCTTGTTAAGGTATTCCATGAAAAGATTGCGACGACGTTCTGTCATCCTCATCTTCTTTGAGTCCCTATCTGTTTTACTTATTTTGTTAAATTTTATATTACGTAGTAGTATCTGTAAAATTCTTATGTCATGTAAACAGAGAAAAAAAAAAATAAAAACAATATATATATATATATATATATATATATATATATATATATATATATATATATATATATATATATATATATATATATTATATATATATATATATATATATATATATATATATATATATATATATATATATATATATATATATATATATATATATATATATATATATATGCCAGCGGCTTCAGTACATACATCGACTGACATATAGTCTGATTCGCAGCGGGAATCAGGCTATATGTCATCATCGACTGTGGGTTTGTGATGGGGCAACAATCTTTTTTTCATTATCCTTCGCTTTTTTCTTCTTTTTCTGAAAACCCTGTATGCTAGAAAGATAAGCAAAACTAGAGAGCATCTAAATACGCTATAGAAGATATATATATATATATATATATATATATATATATATATATATATATATATATATATATATATATATATATATATATATATATATATATATATATATATATATATATATATATATATATATATATATATATATATATATATATATAGAAAACCATAACTCATGCTCTAAAATACAAGACATTACAGTAAAAAAAATAAAGATTAAATAGCAAGAAAAATAATGGTAAATCTGGATCGGATAAAATTAAAAAAAAAAAATGCGTTACCTTGAAGATTAAAACATTTAATTCTCTGTTCTTGACGCAGCGCATTAATTTTCTAAGCTATAGTGTCGATATGAACGTTGTATGTATGTATACAGTCGGAATTGTACTGGAGGGGGGGGGGGGAAGGTTCCACCCCCTCCAGTACAATTCTCAAAAAAGGTGATTTTTAAGTTATAGTCGGTTTTTTTACGAACTTAGTCGGCTAGTCAGGTAAATGACACAACTCAGAAGTCAGGTAAATGACACAACTTTTAGAAGACAGTCGACGCTTTTTAAGGATTCACCCCCTTCCTTATTTTATTTGTAGAGTCGCCTCTGTATATATATATATATATATATATATATATATATATATATATATATATATATATATATATATATATATATATATATATATATATATATATATATATATATATATATATATATATATATATATGTGTGTGTGTAGTTATGTATGTATGTATATGTCGTATGTATGTATATGTATAGATCTGTAGCTATAGTGTTGATATGTCGATATGTATATAAGTAAAAATAAGTAAAAATAAAAACAAGTAAAAATATGTAGTTCATAAATATATAAACACATACTCTTAACATGTAAAAAATTATAGTTAGAAGCCATAAAACTGTCTGAGCTTTTTGAATACAGGAATAACTTTTGATATCTTAAGATGTTTAGAAATTATCACATAATTTAAAGAATTGTTGTCAAGGTCGTTTTCGTTTAAAACTATCATAAGATTAGTAAGGCGTTTTTAATTCATAGTTAATTGCAATTTGAATTTGATGAGAGCAAGCGTTGTCTTTCAGCCACTAAAGCCAAGATTGTATTAAAAATGTAAATCAAAATGTAGATGGAAGGAAATATTCACTGAAGACCTTTCTGGTAGATTCTGTTAACCTACTTGATAAAAGAAAAGGATTCTCTTTGTCCAAAAGAATTTAATCGTTTGAGAACATCTAGATAACAGATTTCTTTAATTAACTCTTTTTCTTTTATATCATTTACGTAGAGGTATTTGTATTTTTCTTTCTGAATAAATGTTTCTTTATCACTAGAAGGAGATAGAGACCACCAAATGAACAAAAAACAAAACTGTTGTCTTTTGAGATATATCCATTCTGCTTCTTATCTGCTGGAGTAGCGTGTCAAGAGCAACATTAAATACGTTCACCTCAAAATCCTTTGGTTCGTCTTCGTGAAAGTGGACTGTTTTCATCGACTCGTTGTAAAGTGTTTTTATTTTCCTTGTCGTATTCTTAAAAAAATCATTTTGGAACCCAAACGAAATTAACCCAGATGCAATTAGTTTTGCTTCTTAAAGGATTTGGGACTAAAAAGAACGTAGTCGATCAAGATCATAGATTAGAGTCTTTAAAAACCTTTAAAAAAATTGAGAATGATGGCCTGCACTCCTTTATATAAACCGAACATTTTGGCTCCGTTATCATAGCCTTGGCCTCAACAGTACCTTAAATTAACTCAGCTTTAATCCAATATCAGATTTTTCTCTCCAGATTTTCTACCTTCAGAAAACTTTTACTATCCATTGATTGTCTATCCATTGATTAACTATCCATTGATTGTCAGATCCTAGGCGGACAAATTGAAGAAAAAAAGTAGTTTTTTCCGTATGAAACAAATCCGGAGTTCCATCAACAATAACGGAAAACTAAATGGCTGTATGGATCTCTTTAACAATAGCAGCAAAGAAATTTTTTTAATAAACTCATTTTGAATTTCCAAGCTCAAACTGTGTGCTTGCATCCTTGTTCCTTGTTTTGGTGTCAAGAAACGTCTTCTAAATGTAACTAAGGTGTCTAATTGTTTTTCTCCAAAAGCTCAAGAAAGGCTAAAAAATTACTATTATCATCCTCGTCCAACATGTTTGATGAACCTACACAAATATGAGCAATATATTGAAATAAAAGATTACGTTTAGATTAATATTCCAAGCAACATTAAAACTTTTTGAATGTAAACTGAAAACACAACTCAAAAAATTAAATTTCTTGAAGCTAAATGGAGAGTGACGTCCAGTACGCAAAGTAAAGTTTCATACCACTTAGATACCTCATTTCTTATTGATATTTCAAGTTTTAAATAGATCCCGGTCTGAATTTTTAAGGTTTTAAAAGCTGATTTCCAGACGATTTAATGATGTTTGTACTGAACATTAGACTGGTGGCTTTTAATCTTTTCTCCTAGTTTTCACAAATTATCTTTAAATACGGCATTCGACGTCAAGAGGAAAAGCTTTTGTGCGAAAATAGAACAGGGTAAACAAACAAATGCTTTGGCAATTCCACTCGAAGGTAAAAACTTTTTTTGTTTTTTGAATCTCTAAGAAAAAATGTCAGATTTTAAGGTGGTCTACTAAGTCTCACTCGAATGCGCTCGACTTTGGATAAAACTCTTTTCTACAAAGCGAGGTCATTTTCAACTGCTTGTTCACCGAGTTGGATTGCCTCTTAATCCTAAATTAAAACAGTATTTACAAATTATGGTATGTTTTTAATATCTGCAGATGTTTCATGAAATAAGAATGCGTCCCAAATTTACCCGAATATTATCTTCTTCTTCAGAAACCGTTGAAAATTTGAATGGTTCATCAACACTGTTGATAGCATCGTTCATCTAGAAAAGAATTGTTTTCACAGTTTTAGAATAAAACTATAAATACACAATTGCGCCTAAAAAAAAATAAAGCTATTAATCTTTACCTTGACTACTTGGTCTGACGTAGAGTTATTAGATGTCCTTTTTTTTTGAACTTTATTGAAGCTTTTCAAGTATACGTTTGCTATTATTTTTTTTTATAACTTTTTCTGGAGCTGCCTCGCGACCCTGAATCGTGCTTTCAAAGACTGGTCATGAAGTTTTTAGTCTAAGATGTGTATGTGATAAACAACTGTATTGGGGAAGTATTGAACTTCTATTGGAAAAACAAAAACTAGTATTTAGATTACCTGAAGTTGTCAGATAGAATAGTTGAATGATAAATGTTGGTCTTGATATAAAATATCAAGACCTCGAGCTGCCTTAAGTGCGTTCAGTTCATAATGCGATGTGCTTACTACATTATTTGCTGTTCACCGTGCATACTACATTATATGACACTACCATGTGCATACTACATTATATGATGTGCTCCCTCTACATTATGTGATGCGTTCATTACATTATAAGATGCGCTCATTGCATTATATGATGTGCTTGTTACATTATATGATACAAAAATGATTTATATGATGAACTTACTATATTATGTGGTCATTACATGATGCGGTCATTATATGATGTGCTACTGCACTATATGAAAGGCTACTTCATTATGTGGCATGCTCACTATATTTTATGATGGTTCATTGCTTTATGTTAGTGTTGTTATCAACTTCGACTAAATCGACTAAAATTCGACTAGTCAAAAGGTAAATATAATCAACTGTGAAAAGTCTAATAGTCGATTTAATGGACATCCTACTAATCAACTAAAAGTCGATTTAATGGACATCCTACTAATCAACTAAAAGTCGATTTAATGGACATCCTACTAATCAACTAAAATTCGATTTAATGGACATCCTACTAATCAACTAAAAGTCGATTTAATGGACATCCTACTAATCAACTAAAAGTCGATTTAATGGACATCCTACTAATCAACTAAAAGTCGATTTAATGGACATCCTACTAATCAACTAAAAGTCGATTTAGTCGAGTAAAAATCTTAAAATCCTTTTTTCATTTAACTTTTTAATCAATTTAAATTTTCAACCTTTAATTTTTATTTGTTTATATAATAACGATAGCATTTACTAATTTAACTATTAGCTTATTTTTTGTTTACTCTGAAAGTTAAAGTTCTAATTCATCGCATTATATTCATTAGCATTGTTTGAATCTGGTTAATTGTTCGGTTATGTATTTCATTCTTTTTTTCTTCCTTTGTTTACTCTATTTACTCTTTACTCTATTTACTGTTTACTCTTACTTCTAATTTCATAAAGGGCTATCAATTTTGGAGCTTCTTATTTCATGTGAAGCTCCAAAATCTAAGTGTCATCTATGTAAATATGATCTGCCATTGTTTCGCAGTGGAAGCTATTAAAGTTCCACCACTTATGTGGAACCATCAGGCCGTAATAGTCTTAAGAAAAGGAAGAAATATATTGTATAAGTGCAAAGGAGTGCTAGATAAATTATAATATTTGGACAGATGTTCAGTATTGAGAGGTAGTGTTAAAGAGAGGAGAATTATTCACTGATTAAGTTAGAGTTAAGTAAGTGTTGTTTAAGTTAGATTTAAGTAAGTGTTGTTTAAGTGTTCTGTAAGTTTGTGTTAATTATTGTGCTTTGTGTTTGTAGTGTTCTAAATTTAAAGTTTTATATGTCAATTAGTATGTCTTTATTTATATGAATTTGTATTTTCGATTTTTTCAACTCATTTTCTTTTGTACAGGTTTATTACTTTTTCACGAGAAAAAAATACTTTGATTTTCCGTCTTATTTAATTTTGATGTTATTATGTTTTTTGTGATCGTAGTCTTTCCTATTTATTTATCTCGTCTCATCTGTTATTTGGGCTTTTCCCTTCCTTTTCCCCTATTTAGCCTATTTTGTTTTTCTTTGTCTTGCTTATTCTTTTTTTATTATTTTGTCATTCGTCATTCATTTTTTACGCCTTTATAGTCTAAAGTCATTTCGTATTTTTTGCTGTTGATTGTATTTTTTAATTTATACCGTTTTAGTGGATATATTCGTTTTACCCATGTTTCTATTTTATAATTAATATCTTTTTGGTATACATATTATAATTCATATTGCTTTAGTGGAAAAATTCATTTTACCTCTAGTTTATATTCCAAAATGCTGGGTTAAGGGGTGTGAAATTTAGTACCACCTTCATGAAATTATGTGGAGTAATCATATTGTGGTGACTGTCTTTATAGGTGGGCTTAGTGAAAATTATGTTGATTTTAATTGTGGTTTAGGGCTTTGTATTCTTTTATTGCTTAGGGTGGGTTTTAAATTCTAAAGATTGAGTTGCGGGGTGTTAGAAGTATTAAATAAGATATGTTTTAACTTTTTTTTTTTTTTTGAGCGGAAACGTTGCAGTGAACAGACGCTTTTTAACTGCTCTTCAAATATTTATCAATCAATACCGTAGAACGGGGTGACTTTGATACGCGGGGTGACTTTGATAATTTCGTCTGTTAGTTACAAAAATAATGATTTGAATGTGAAATTGCACAATTAGAGACTATTTTTTTTTTATTCTTGTACATAATTATATTTTGCTAATATTTTTGAAATTTTAATGATTGTGAAGTGATTCTAAATTGTGCAAATGTGTTAGGAATAACATGACTATAACAAAAAAATAACGATTTTTACACGTACCAAAAAATGCCAAAAAACCTTGTGATTTTAATTTTTTTGAATTTTTTTTTTTCTAAAAATCTATACTTAGATGTTCAAGTGGTATTTTCCAGTTATAATACCACTGGAATATACCACTCGTTTTTGGTTACTCTCAATCACATTTGCAGAAAAATCAGTGTAAATCAGGGTAAATCAGTACTTAATATTTATATGCAATTAGTATTTTTTTTTTGTTAGTGTTATTTTATAACTGCTAATTACTATAACAATGTTATTGATATATTATTTTTCTGTGTTTAGCATATTAACATCAAATTTATTTTTGTTTTTTCTTTGTCCATTCTGTAGATATATTCGATAACCAAACTTGTTGTCTAAATTTATAATTTTACCAGTAAATCTTATAAGTTTATTAATATGTTGTGTTCTAATTTAGTAAAAGTCAAAAAGAAAGTATTAGCGACACTGTAAAGAGGGTTAAATCAATAAGCCATTAAGAAATAATAGACTATCAAAGTCACCCCAAACGACGGGGTGAGATTGATAACATTTTGGATTAAAAATATATATATTAAGACAAAAAAAAATTAAAAATATTTAATGGAATTATATAAAGGAAAGGTATAATGTTATAACGGGAAAAAAAAAAATCAGAAAAAATTGTAATGAACCAGGTTTATTTTGCAAAAATGCTCAAAATCCTAACAAAGTCACCCCGTTCTACGGTACTTATTATTATTAATACAAAAGATAAATCTAAAATGCCAGTCTTGTAGAAGTTAAAAAAATGCCGAAGGAAATGTTTTTAGAATATAGAAAAGAAATGGAAACGATGCTTAAACGACAACAACAAATATTTATAGATATCTTAAGTGCAAATACAAAAATAATTAACGAGAGACTTGACAAAGTAGAAGAAAACTCTAATGAAAGCGTAAACAAAATAAAGATAATAGTAAAAGATATCAAAGACATAAAATTGAGCTTAAATTTTTATGATGAAGTTTTTCACAAAAAAAAATCGCAACTATCCACAAACAAAACAACGAGAGAGTAGAAAAGGAAAACATTACAACGCGAAATATAGATGAAAAGCTAAGAAGGTTTGAAGATAGATTGAGAAGAAATAATTTAAGAATAGGCGGATTACCAGAAAGTGCGAAAGAAACATGGAGTGAAACTGAGGATAAAGTTAAATTATTTTTGTAAATAAGTTGGGACTAAATGGAATAGAAGTCGACCGAGAGTATCGAACCGGAGGCAGAAAAGAAGATAGCTCCAGAATAGTTATAATGAAGTTGTTAAGGGGGCTCACCCCCCTCAAAAATATTTCGACAACTACCAAGTTCAAAAGATTTTTAGGGTATTCATTGGAAAGGATAATACAATAGTGTTTAAAAAAATATATTTTCATTTTTTAAAAATGTCTGCTGTTGCCATGGTTACAAATTCAAAATGGCGAAAATCATAAATTCTTGAAATTTGGAAAGCTAATTCCATTGGGTTGGTAAACTATTTTTCCATGAAACTTTCTAACATTATTTATTTACATTAGAAGCATGCAATAAACCAAAAAAAAGTGAAATATTATTTCGGGAAGGATGTCTGTTTGAGTTTTTAAAAAATCAACAATTTTTTTCTATATTTTCAACATAAAATTGAACTTTAGACAAGCTAATCACAGACAATATAAAATATTTAAATAAAACTTTTGGTTTATTGCATGAAACAATCTATTATGTGTGTTGTGTGAAAAAATCAGCTCAAAAGCTTAAATAGAACTAAAGTTACTACATTTCCAAATTCTATTAAATTCGGAAAAAATGCAATCTGAGAAAATAAGCAAAAAGTAAAACATTTTGTAAAAAGAGTTATAGTAAGTTGTAATTTTTTAAAGCTTTTCGATTCTAAGATTAATAAAATCAATTTAAAAGGTGCTTTGATAATAGAAGTTAATACAACATCTACATTATCTATAATTCTATATAAAAAAACTATATCACATGAAGAACATTTTTTGTCAAAAAAAGGATATATAACTAAAAAAAAGAAAACAGCATATCCAGAATAAAAAAACTAAATAAAATAAAAACATTTTAAAAATTAACTTCAGAATAATCCTGCTTTATAGGTTTTTCCTTCATTTTTTTTTTTTTTTTTTATCGCCTTTTTGTTTTTTTTGTCCTTTTAATTTGACGACGATGGAGAACATTTTTTACTTCACTATGATTTATTGAATTTTTAATCCTTTTGATATTGATTTTATCACATCCAAGATAGGTATAAAAAACCATATTTAGTCTTTCATACAAATTAATAACAGCTTTAGCTCCAATGTTAAAATTAGATACAGCATCATAGATGCCCAAAGGAAGTTGTTGTAAACCCACAAACCTTGATTCGGGCAAACGCCCCCAAACCATATTATTAAATGACTCATTTTGATTATGTGTTTTTTCAATGTAAGCACTTGTCAAGAAGTGAATCACATGTTAACTCATTTATAACTTTTCTAACTTGCAATGCAATATTTGTTGGCAAGCCTGGACC